TTTTCTGATATATATATATATATATATATATATATATATATATATATATATATATATATATATATATATATATATATAAGAGGTTATATTTACAATCGCTTTCATGGTTATTGGATCAAACTAAAAATCAATGGTTCTCATTTAATGTCATTATAATGACCCTAGCTTATAAGTAAATGAATTAAAGTCATATTTGATGAAAAATGAGTTAAAAATGACAATTAAGGGGTAAAAATATGAGTAGGCAAAATTGCCCGAAAGGTAAAACTAAAAATAGAAACATGACTAGAAAAATATTCTAGTCCATTGGGTAAAATTTGATAATGAATAGACAGATAAACCTTTATCTAGTTGAATTTCACTTAACCTATGTAAGTGAAAACTATCGAACCTTCATACTTCTTCTTCTTTTTCCAGCATCATCGACACAGAAGGGAAAATAGAAAAGGATTTTGAGCGAAATTTTCAAAATTTCATAGAGAGAGCTAGAGACCTCGAAATCACTTGGTTCCAATGCCAAACTTGGGAGAAATTTTGAGAGGAACACATTGGTACCCATATTTTCATGTGGGGTTCACTGTAGAGAGTTCTTCTTCCCTTAAGATTTCATGTTTCATGAAAAAGATGAGTTTTGATGGAACTTGAGGCCATAAGAACTTGAAGTAAGCTTTCCCCTTCATTCTTGGGTATATTGTGGTAAGGAATCACCTTTCTTTTCTTGTTCTCATAAAATTTTAAGAATTCTAGATTTTATGATGAATAGTGCACGAAAATGTGAGGATTTTATGGATTGTGATGGTTATTTGTGGTATATACATGTTGTATAGTTGATCCCAACATTGTTTTGAGCGATCTTCACGGATTAGAATCCACATTCGCTTGAGTTGGAGATTTATGAATTTTTCACATTGAGGTAAGTTATGGTATGGATAGTTAAAGAGCGATTTGGATATAGCTTCCTTTGTTAAATATGCTTATGATTTCTTCTTGATGAAAGACAAAAAAATAAATCACCGTTTAGCTCACTATAGAAAACTATGATTTTCGGCTATATGTCAATGTCGAAAATTTAATGGTAAATAGTTGGAGGATGATTTGTAGGTGAGTCCCTTTGTTAAACATGCTTAGGATTAGTTCTCGTAAAAGGAAAAATTATGAAATCGCCATTTAGAACACTTCGATAAATTGGACTCAAAATCAAGTTTAGGTGTCTTGTATGTGTAGTCTTGAAAATTGAATGTGGTAAACTAGTATATATATACTGATTGTCTTCACATAATTGGAATAGGTTGTGATATTGTGAGATATTTTGGTTGTGACCTTTTGGATACAAGGAGCGCATTTGAGGACGTTGTTTGCCAGGTAAGCTTTCGGTCCTTGGGGTTAATCCCTCGTTTGTTCCTCCAAACTCCAAGGGAGGGTGGTAGTTTGATATAGTATGTTGAAAATAATTTTTTATATGTTGCAAGTATATGTAGGTATGTTTGTGTGCTACACAAGATGGTGTTTCCTTGTGTGAGGCACAAGATAGTGTTTTCTTATACATAGTATAAGACGATGTTTCCTCATACGGTATGTTGTAAGACGATGTTTTCTTGCGTAATGCATACTTGTTATATTCTCTGGCCAGTATGATTTATTATTTGCACACTACAGTGTCATACATATTCTGATGCATGCATGAATATTTTATATGCTGTGATTATACCAGAAGTGAGCTTAGGGGTGGAGGAGCCCTCTAAGGATCCCTAGCTTACTGAGGTAATTATATTATCTCACCCCATGTTATGCGGATTACCATTTCAGGTACAGGAGCTGATGGTGTTGAGATATCGCGTGGCAAGAGGCCAGAGGAGAGATACTATTTGACATGATAATATGATTTGATTGATATGCTGATATGTATTTGGCATGGTTTTATTTTAGATATATATCTTTATGCCATGTCATTATTTTGAGAGCATAGAGAATGTCTATGCCATGTTGCTAGTCTGTATATGTTGTAGTGATGCATGCTCAGGTCTATGTTACTTATTTAATTGCATCTCTTTTGTTTATTTGATGTAATTATTTAAGTAACATTATGGATATTATATGGAGATCATATTACTATGAGATAGCCTAAGCCGTTGATGGCTAGGCAAGATGTTTATTCATTTTGTGGCATGTTTAGTATATTGATAAATTGTTAATTAGGTGAAAATTTCTAGGATGAGAATTAATCCCAATAGTCCGAAAAACAGACGAAATGTCGTTCGCGAAATGTAAAAAGAGTAGATATGAAAGGAAAAAAGAAAAAGTTAACCACAAGCTTCCGCATTTACTAAGTTAAAATGTGCTGCGCTTAATATCATATGAATGTTAATTAACCGGCTGTAGACGGGGCGTTACAGTCATTTTGTAATCGTTGATTTGATTTTGATCTAACAGCCATAAAAATGGTTATAAGAAAAAATATGTCGTAAATATAACTTTCCTCTTTTTTTATACCATTCTGAAAAAAAAAAAAAAAAGTTAACCAGAATATAAAGCATCAAGTTAGTGAGATCCTAGAATTAGCAAGTCATTTTGGGACCGAAATTTGCAGACAGCACGACGGAGTTCCAATATAATTGTGGATCAAATTTCATAATTATGAAGGGTCAAAAAATTTATCATATTTTGCAAATGAAGGTAGCTTAAGAATCTGCTATTTGAATGTTTGGTAGTAAGGAAAAAGTGGAAAATTGCAAAATTAACACTATAATGTTTAAAGGGTAAGTTGAACTTATAAAGTATGTATACTTACACCAAAACGAGTAGTTTTCACTTCACTTTGAGTTCGTGGGAATATAGAACTCCCGTGAATTTCGGGTATTCCTGAAATATGGACTTAAGGCTTTGCTTGGATTGATGAAAAGGAACTGAATAGAGGAGAATGAAATAGCATGAGGTTAGCTATTGTTTTTTTTTTTTATACATAGTTATCATTGTTTAATTTAGATTGTTTTAAATTGGGTGAAATAGATTAAAACCCGATGAACCTTTTTCATCCCATATATCTATTTTTCTTGCTCTCCAATTTAGGATGAAAAGATAAAACTAACTTATTGTTTATAAATAATCTTTATCATTTCATTCACTTCTCAAACCATGGAATGTAAATTGTCCTATATTTCATTATAAAATATTCAATTAATAGTGTGTTAATTTGATTCCATTCCATTTCGTCTATGGTCACATATCCAAACATTTAAGGAAAGTAGTGGCTACCTAAGCATTTTCTAAAACTTAAAAGGCAATTGTTGTTAATGTAACGCCTCCGTTTGCAACCGGTTAATTAATATTTGTATGATAATAAGCACAACAAATTTTAAACTTAATAAATGCGGAATCTAACTGGTTAACTTTTTCCTTTTTTTTTTATCACAGTTAAGGTATCACAATATTGTATTGTTATACAGTCAAAGTACTCATATTGGAGTTGAGTTAACTCTAGTCCGTTCTCAATTTTATATATATAATACTCAACAACAAGAATCGTGTAAACAAATTTTTTTTTTTGTTACTATCATATCGACTTTCAAACATTTGTTTATCTCTATCCCAATCCCAGTTTTTGTTGCAACTTTTTCATTTTAGTTTAACAAAAGCAAATTCTTGAAACCAAGAACATGAAATTATGTATTCACAATATGTAGATTCAACTACTAGACACCACGTTTTAATTAAAAATATTAAAAGAATAATTTCATCGGTCATTCACTTCTATGATCCTCAGTCCATTCTTAATTAGTGTGAGGTTTCACCACTTATACTTAAAAGGTTTAGTGTGTGTCTTTTTAAAAGATATAAGTTTATGTCTTTCACCTTTTATAACTATGTACTCCAGTACATAGTTATAATATAAAGAAAGAAGTTCACCAATGCCTCTGTGGTTTGCTTCAGAATCACCTATGTCCCGGTGATTTTTTTATATCACATATATCACTGTGCTTTGTAAAAAATAAAAAACCACAGGAAATATGTGATAAAAAAACTTACCCTTTTGCAAATCACAGGGTCATATGTGATAGAAAAAAATCACAGGGGCATAGATGATTCTGAAACAAACCACAGGGACATTGGTGAACTTTTTCCTAATATAAAAGTTGCTTTTTTTTTCTCTCTCCACTCTAGCCGACAAGATTTTGAAGAGAGGAAAAGAAAAAAAACTTAATATTATAACTACGTATTTCGCAAAATGCAGTTATAAGGGGATAAAATAATCCTACTTGATATTTACCACAAAAAAAATAATCCTACTTGAAATTATCTCCTCTTATTAAAATCAGGTAGCCAGATTATTATAGCTACATCAGCAGATGTTTCTCCTTAATTTTAGGATTAAATAATCAAAACTTGTTATAAAATTAGAATTAAGTATAAGCCTCTGTAATTAGGCACGCTGTCTAGCTAACATGATGAACTCTGCGCCATCACATTGATGCCATTTCCCCTGACAGTACTATGAATCTACAATCAGCTGGTCAATAACTAGCATATATTATAATTTTGAAATGCATCTATATCATCTGCAACTTCAGGCGGCCGGATAAGCAATTTGTTTTACAAATATTAGATAATTTAATGCAGAAAATTGACAAACTTTGTTGTTAAAGTTTCAAACTAAGCTGTTGTTCAAACCTGATTTTGGTGACCCCACAGAACTCAATCTTTTGTCTAAATTGCAAAGCAACCATGCTGATTAAATTATATGGATGGCCTTTGAAGAATGTTGGATATCAAATGAGACAAATGAGTTGCTTTCGTCATATCTTTTCCCACACACCTACCTAATGCATTCTAACCTACCTAGTATTATATTACCAGATAATTGTCACTCTCTGCATGACCTAAACAACATTTATATATAACCCATGCACAGTGATTTCAAGCTTACAACCATTTTGATCGATAATATCTGGAAACTGATTGATACATTTCCTAAGTTCCTCCGTGGGAATTATTCCTTCATCTTCATGGACAAAGATCCTAATTTAGAAATCCAACTCCCTCCTGGATTTAGATTCCACCCTTCTGATGAGGAGCTCATTGTTCACTATCTGAGAAACAAAGTGACTTCATCTCCCCTTCCAGCTTCATTCATAGCTGAAATAGATCTTTACAAGAATAATCCATGGGAGCTCCCAAGTCTGTGTTAACACTTGCACTGATTTAGAATTTTGTTTCATTGTTTTCTTAAAGGAGAGGACGAGCGTGAAGTAGTGGTAAAATTACTCTTATGTGATTGAAAAGTCACATGTTCGAACCTGAAAAGCAGTCTCTTTGCAAATATGCAAAGATAAGACTGCATACAAGGATTGTCCTCACCCCACACTCCCTAGCTAGTCGGGGTTTAACGGGGAGTGCTTTTGTTTTTTTTAAAGGGATAGTTACTAAAAGAATGCTAGCTTTTCATTTTCAACAGGTAAAGCATTGTTTGGGGAGGATGAATGGTATTTCTTTACTCCTAGAGACAGAAAGTATCCCAATGGAGTGAGGCCTAACAGAGCAGCTGGTTCAGGTTATTGGAAGGCTACTGGGACTGACAAACCTATTCTTACTTCCTGTGGAATGAAGAGCATTGGAGTGAAGAAGGCCCTTGTGTTCTACAAGGGACGTCCACCCAAAGGATCTAAAACTGACTGGATCATGCACGAGTATAGGTTGCATGATTCATTGATCTTGAATTCCAAGCAAAGAAGGTCTATGAGAGTAGGTCAATTAATGAGCATGAGTTCAATTTTTCATCTTCCAAAAAATTTGATGGTTTATGTATATATGAAGTTTTGACAATTTCTTGTTTTTTTTTTTGTTTTTCTCCTTGTGCTTCAGCTGGATGAATGGGTGCTATGCCGGGTTCGACAAAAAATCAGCAACCCAAGAAGCATTTGGGAAGATTCAAATGAACTTAGTTATGAACCAATTACAAGCCACTTTCAACAAATGAATGAGAACTCTAATCTTGAACCAGTCAAAATCTCTCTGCAGAATGAATATCCAATGTTACCTTATATTCTGGCTTCTGAGAGTACTCTGCCTAATTCCATTGGAATGGCCTCAAGCTCACGCTCTTGTTGTAATGATGATATAAAAGAATATGCTTCATTGCATGAAGACAACTTAAACATAGTAGGAGCACAGTTCTTAGCATCTGCAGCTGAGGGCTTCTTTAATCCGCTGAAGAGAAAAGCCATTGAAGAAAATCAGTTGGACCTTTATGCTCCCCTCAATAAAATACTAAGGAAAGAAGTTGATGATGGAAAGCAAAAACTTGAAATAGATGTAAGCAAAGGGTACAATTTCAACAACTTTGAGCATTGGACTTCCATTATACAACCTCAAGAGCTTAATGGCTTAGCCTTCACGGGATATACATGAGTCGTTTTAGTGTATATGGACATGCTTGTTCGTGTGCATATGTAGCTGCTGCATGGGATGGATGGAAAGTGAATTCTATATATGTAACTAAGCAAGAATGCATTTGATTTCATATTTGTACAGTGTGATTATTCTTTTCTGTGCGTAGGAATGTACATAGCTGAAAAAGCATAGGGCATTTGCATACTTTGTTATAGGATATTATTTCAGCTGTGTGTATAGGGTAATATATGAGAGATAGCTTGAAGAATAAAGTGCCATCATAATGCTACTGAGTTGTTGATTGTATTGTATTTTCAAAATAAACTTATGGAAATTGAAATATTTTTTTGAAATTCTTTCTTTTTGTCATGATAGATAAAGGCGTTATTTGTAAGTACTGAAAATCCATTGCACTAAAAACTTCGTGCATTCTAAAACAACTAGCGTTACTGTGAACTGTGAAGGCTGTTTGGATTTGTGTTGTTAATTTCAAGGTACCGAATCAAAAATGACAAAAAAAAGTCATGCATGTATTTAAAACTACGCCACCGCTTTGTAACTTGAACTTTTCAATTAAGAATATCAGTATAAAATTGTAGTACGGTGTAGGATTTTGGAAATAATGCCTTGGAATTGGAGTTTACTTTTGTTCCTGCCTTGTGTGGTTTAAAAGCTAGGAATTTAAATGTATGAAGAGTAGTTTTAACTACGAAGCTAAAGAGTCAGGAGAAACTTGAAAAACAATTACCATTTTGCTACTTGTCTCAGTTGTCTGTATCCTGGAGGGTTATAGGCAATGATGCACGGACACGGACACGAGACACGACACGACACGCCGACACGTTAATTCTAAAAAATGTCATATTTCGACACGTTGGGACACGTTTTGATATTAAATAAAATTTTTAATATATATAATATAATTTATATTTAATACATATAAGAGTCCATAATAAGTCATATAACCAATCAAATATTTAAATTTTATAACATAAATATAAACATAAATATAAATATTTTTTCGTACTTTGTTAAATTTTTATGTCAAATTTCATAACAGAAAAAAATTAATTTATAAATTTTTTCTTTTATATTTAGTTAACAAAATAAAATTAAGATTAAAAAAAAAAGGTATCCGAGCGTGTCCGAGCATTGACCGCGTGTCGAAAAAATGTGTCGGAGAGTTGACCGTGTGTCCTCAAACCGCGTGTTGGACGCGTGTCCAAGCGTATCCGTGTTGGACGCAATTTTTTTTTCAAACACCGTGTACGTGCTTTGAAGGTTATAGAGAATATCTTATATGGGTAGTGGATGAGCTCAGCAGCAATCTCGCACCCGAAAATTTCACTATTAGTATGTATTTTAAGTGGACAAGCAATGAATCATTGGCCGGCAACATGGCGAAGATTTAGGAGTATAGGAAGCAAGGCAACACCTCGTAGTTGGGGCCTTAAGAAGATGTCCAACATTGTAGTTTATACTTTGGAAATTTTATTTTTCAAATAGATTCAAAAGAGATGTTGACCATTTAGGATTGGGCTTAAAAAAAAAAAGATTGGGGGGAGGGGGATTATCAACTGATAATTGCTTTTTAACTGAAACTAGTGACAAAATTTCTTAAATCACACATCATGTAGACCGATTCTTGACTTGCTGACACTAAATTCATATAAAAAAATGATTGTTTGTATATGCGATGGAAATATGCCATGGATTTCTTCACAGATCACATGATTTTAAAGTCGGAAACAAAGATCGCAGGCCCAAAAAAATACAGAAAAATTGATTGTATAATAATCGGTTCTATCTTTCTTTTTTCCTCATGTTTTTAGCTCGCTAATTTCCATTTGATTTCACCTCCCGAACCTCGTCCTCTCTTCTGCTCCAAATTAAAATAGATTATTTGTATAATAGTAAATTGTGAAATCCTCTACGAGAACATTGAATCAGTACGTTCCACAAGTTTTTAAAGATGGGCATATAATACAAGAGCCAGATTCAGTGTCAACACATACCAAAAATATATAAACTACTCGGCATATAACATAACGGCATACCGAGTCTGTTTATAAAGGACAAATGTATCTCTCAAGTGACAGGAAAAATTCACAAAAAATAAAATTTATATAAATAGACACGATATTCTCAAGAAAATAAAATAAATACAGGTAAGCCACACGAATAGATCCAACGGCCTTGTATGCCGTATCATTTCTTTAGCACACTGCAACAAAAGCACAGCAAGTCAGAAAGGTATCTCAAGAAGTAAAACAAAACAAAAAAGACTAGTAAACACCGCCATGAAACACATGCGATGATATTAAAGATCTCACCCATGCTATCAGGAAAGAGACTAAAAGCTACCACGTCAGAAATTTGAAGATTCCAATTAACAGTGCCTCAAATGGATAATATCCAAATTTTAAGTACAGACAGGACACAATATATTTCAACAAAATTGCATTTGAAAATTGATTCATACTCTAGTTTTTATTTTTATATTTAAAAGAGAGGATATAAGGGAAGACATGGAAAATACAAAAGACAACCCCCAAGGCTAACAAATCAAAAGATTTATGATCCCTCTCACTACATGGATATGATCTTACATATATAGTCAAGCTTTTTAATCTGTCAGTGTGTTACCAATTTCTCAGAAATTCATTTGGCCCATTTAACCGTAAGTTGGCAAATAACCATTTCAAAAGAAAGTTCTAGTCTTAGTATACGAGTTCTTATGTGGTACACCAGGAGTGGAAAATAAAACAAGTATTTGGTACATTGTTCGTATTAACTAGATCATCATCAAGAGTTTAGTGAAATATTTATCAACAAAAATATACTAAACTTTGTGGGCTTATATAAAACTTTGGACTCCTCCACCCACATGGAGAAAATAAAGCCTTAGATTAAAAATATATGCTCCTCTAATTTCAAAGGAATGCCATAATCACAATTAATGCAGACCAAAACTTCTCCAACATTAGATCAGAGAATTGTAGTAGAGTTAGCCAGTAAGGGAAAGATGTTATGATTTGTTTTAGTGATAAAGGATATGTTGATATGGATCGCAAAGAAAAACATAATGAGAATTGCATTTCAGAAACTTAGCAAAGTTGCCATACTAGCGAGGAAACATAATGAGATTAATTTCTGCAGCAAAGGCTGCATTGCCATAACAGGAAAATGTGTTGAATGCTTTCATTAAGAAACCACACACCTAATTTTCTAACTTAAGATGCAGCTTAAGGTCACCCACTTAATGACGAATGATTTAAACATGGACCTTAAATTTCCCACACAGATACACTTAAGGCAGATTTCCACTTTTCATATCAAAAAGAGCCACATAAGGCAGGACCAGAATATGAACTGGGCTTGAAATCCACAAGAAAAGAGAAATGGTTGGAACATCTTTTTTAATTTTAGAAAAGAGATAGGAGCCTTACTTGTACAAATAGGCAGCAATTCCCAAAATTATAATCAACAAAACAATATCAATACAGAAGTTTCGACTGGATCGAAGCTGGACAAAAACCAAAAATCACGTAAGATTCAACAGGAAATCTATCACTGATGCAACCGGAAATTGACGGAAATCTAAGACTGAAAGAGTTGCAGTTGTATAACCTGGTTCACCGTGTCTTTAAGTCTAACATTGGTATTCTTAAGGTCTGAGGATGCCTTGTCCACCTGTAAAGACAACAAAAAACAATATCTCATATTAATTTCAACTTCCTAACTCCAGTTTTGAAAAGTAGGGTGTGTTTGAGGAAATGTTTTCTGTTTTCACTAATGATTACAAAAGTGCCTCTTTTTTCACTTTGTTTCCTGTTTTCAAATATTTGTACAGGAAACGGTGATGCTGTTTTCACTATTTCCTGTACAAAATCTTTGAAAATAAGAAACAAATTGAAAGCAAGGTGGCATTTTTGTAATTATTAGTGAAAATAGAAAATGGAAATAGAAAACATTTCCACAAACCAAAGATACCCTTAGTTTCCAAGTTTTATGGCTTCAGGGCACAAGCAGTTATCGATGATTCTCACCTTCGTATCAATCTCATCCATCAGTGGAACTTGTCTATCCATTTCCTGCATTTGGCCCATAAATAATGAACTTAAAAGTGAAAAAAACCACACACAGAGAGGCAGAAAGACAAACACAAGGAATCTGACCTCATTCATATCATGTGCCATGTCTTTCAAAGTATCCAATCCTTCAGCAATCACATCCAAACCTTGATCCTAAAAATGTTTCATATAATTAGATTTGAAACAATTGCCTGGGTAACATTCAACATGTATATCATGCAAAAGACAGCACCAAAAAATCTCGTCTCCCTCCGGTTATAACTGTCTAAATGTGACTTGCCTGTTTTATTTTACGCATTTCATACTCCTGCCTGAATTGACTTGTTTCTTCAGTTTGTTGGAAATATTCATCATCAAATCGCCCATCTGTAATTGACATGATACACAGGAATGAATTGAGACCATTAATTAAAATGCCCCCCATTCATCAGCTGCTATAATTATATCAGTACGAGACACAGATAACTTCAATTACCTGAATCAAATTTAATTTCAGGACGTGAGGCAGAAGCTGCCCAACCTCCAGTTTGTTTGGGTGCAGCAGGGGTCCCATCTGGGATAGCTTGGATCCTATCCGGCAAAGCAAGAACCAAATCATTACGGGCAGCAAATTCTTGTGATGAAAGTCCCTTTACCTGTGAATCCAAATTGTACCATGCATTGGACAAATGTATAATGTCACTAATATTGAACATTTGCTTGCCAGTAATTTACCAAGTGTGAAAAAACGACAATCAAGCAATTGATAGGACATACACGCCAAACGAAATAAGTCAGATTTTTCTCAAATAATCAGAAATACATACAGGAGCAACAAAAAATATCCCCATTCCTAGATGGATAGGTGCACTGGTAAAAGAAGAAGTAGGATTTTTTTTTTCCACTGTCTTTCTCATTGTCAAATTTTATAACAGAACTCTTCAAGTATATTAAATAAATGATCTTTTCAGATAGCATGTCATTAGCTAGATCTCTCTAACTAGGTAATTTCATCAACTTGTTCTTCACTACAGCTGAAAGTGTCAGCTACAATACTATTGACAATTCACAATTACAATACGAATTCAATCAATCAGAGCTAAGACAGATATCATAAGTATAGAATGGAATTCACCATTCCAACCTAAATCCAAAACACGCAGATAACAAAGTTCATAAAATCAATAGAATCCCCACCTCACAAAAAGAAAAAAGAAAAAAAAAGAAACACAATTTCAAAGGATAGTAGAAGTAAGAGAGAAAGCAAAGAACCAACCTTTTTCACAGCCAACCTCTGCAACTTCGGTACCTCCTCGAGCAACCTAGCCTTGGTACGACGAATCTCAGCATTGATCGCTACAGTAGATGCCCTACTTTTCTCCTTGGAAGCGGTTTCTGCTTTCTACACAAAATTGACTCCACATACTATTACACAAGTTTGGGAGTGGAAAAAAAAAAACTCAAATTCCAAATCTTTTCATCAATTAGGGCACAAATTCCCCTATAACTCTGTATCCATGCGAGTTTCTGATACAATCAAACAAAATTGAAGGAAAATAACTATAGAGAGGAGGAAGATCACGATGTAACCTGAAGCGCGGCCTCGATGTCGGCGTCGACGACGGCGTAGAGTCTGGCGAAGGCATCGTCGCCGGACAAATTGGAATCCTTTTGCTTTTCGACGTCGTATTTGTCGTACTTCTTACAAATCGAGTCAACTCTGGTGAGAATGTCGATGACGCTCATGCTGCTGTAGTACCTTTGTAATCAAAATCCGACGTTTTATGTTCTGAATTTTGTTTTCGACAGTGACAAAACACTGGGTTGTGGGTACAGCACACCTTGATCCGTTTGATGCTATCAGAAGAGAGATATTGGCACTACTGTTACACCGTCCAGCCTGTAGCAACCATGAACAGCAAGCAATCTTTTTTTTTCTTTTTTCTTTTTTAAGTTACTGAATTGTAAAAGAAATTCTTATAATAATGTTAAGAGAAATATTCAATATTTTCGGAAAAATATATTTACAAATTTTTACAACCAAATTTTCATATTTAATTTTTATCAATCGAACTATTATAATTTATTGAATCACAATTATAATTATCAGATTAATAAAAATTAATGATTAAAACTTAGTTGTAAGAGCTCATAATTTTTTTTATATAGATATAACATTTTCCTTAATTTTTATTTCAGGATGGTGAAATTATTTTCATTAAACTGCAATTCTGCAAATAAATGATTATACTTGCAAAGTTTAAACTTAGATAAATAGTTTTTTACACCTTAATTATAAAAATTTAATATAAAAAAATGAGATAGTTGAAAAATAATACACATGAAAAAACATCACAGACACTTTAAGCTGTTAATTTTGAGGATTTGTAATAAAAAAATTTCTTATTGCATCTAAAAATTTAAAAAGTTTTGCTAATCAAATCATAAATAAAAAAGAAAAACACTTCAAGTATCTTTAGCTAAAATTTTTTAGTAATTTTTGTGTGAGTGTGTGACGCTAAAAAGAGAAATGCATTGCGAAAGAAGCAACGTACAAGCCAGAACTGAAATGAATAACCAAGCTTCTAAAGAGATGCAGTGCCCGTCAAGCAAGTCTAAGTGCGCTGAACAAAACAAGAAGGAAATAATACAACAAGAGGCTAATTAATTTGCAGACATCTAACATTAGGGTCCAACCTCATCTGTACCAGAATTCAAGTTGCAACTACTTTTTAGCAATCAATCTCTATTGGCACCTTCTAAAATATAACTCCAAAGTTATTTGATGACCGGAACAGGTCGCATATCCTTCCACTGGCATAGGATTCTGTAACAAAGGGTACAACATGAATCACAAGTCAGAGCAATCACCCCCCCTACCTTGCAATGATCAATTAAAAAAATAAAATAATAATAATTAATTAATTGTAGCTCCATCTATGTACATAATTTTCAACTTGACAACACTTCTAGGGGTGGAGGGACCCATTGGAGCAGGGGAGGTTCGACATTTTTTTTAATCTTGTTCAGAAATTGATTATACTTACGTCTTAGTACAAATGTCATTATATTTTCATTTTAATTTTATTTATAAAAACTAAAATTTACAATAATTATTTAGCTGTTCTTTATAATTAAGAGATATAATAAAACATGAATTATTATTAAGAAATATAATAAATATTTTTACCTAATACCATAAGTTTTATTATATACTTTTGTCATAGTTTAATGTAGTCAGTCATGCAAGCCCCTTGGGTCAATAAAATACACTAGCCACCACGGAGAGATACAGAGTAAATAATGGTCCAAAGGCTTGCTCACATAACAAAAATGCATTTGTTTCTTTTTCATTAATGGATGGTGAAGAAGTGGAATCTGCATCGTTTGTTGTTCTTAAGATGCTTTGTTGAAATTGCGTGGTCAAATATGTCACCCTCTTTGTTTGATAGGCTAAATTCGTGTACCACCACCACACCAAGCATATTGCAAATTCCCAAGTGTCAAAGCAAGTGGGGTCCTATTGAATTAGTGCTGCTTATAAATCTTGTCGATTGAGGCATTACCCAAGCCTAACCAAATGCTTATGATCTAATCGCTGGACTATTCTTGGTGAGTTAGGTCCACTGTCCACACTTACATTATTCATTTATCTACACTTCTGGCCCCGTTGATTTTCATCCACCTTAAAAGTCACATTTTGCGCTTCTTCTTCTTTCCATTACATTAAGATCATGATTACAAGAAAGGGGAATAAAGAAAACAGAAAAAAAAAAAAGTAAAGCACTTTTTTTTTAGTAACAAAAAAAAGGACTTTACTTCACTGAATTAAATACTTAAAAAATCTGATAAGAGACAAAGCATTTGTCGACATTGCACGGCCTTAATAAATTGTCAGCCAAAGAATGTGTCGATCCTTGTGAGGGAAGGTAACCACAGTAACCAAATTAAAACTTCTTCCACTCCTTCACGTCAATTGTACTGATCAGGCTTTGAACTCTTCTTTTGTTGATATCAACCACATATAATTCGGAAGATATATATTATGTATGGATATTCAACATGAAAGACACGTGATGAATGAATCTTCTTTTCAACTTTTTCTACTCTATAATTCATGGTTAAACAAAATTTGTGCGTGAATAGTATTCTTTTGTTACTGCAACTATTATTAATTAAAATATTTTGAGCAACATAAAATTACATTCACAGCGAAAAAAGTGTCACACCCCTGAACCTACATTCATTTTTTTTTTATTAAGTGAGTTATTTATATTGAATTTTTTCCCCTTGACACAATTATGGTTAATAATGAGCATGATTCGATTCAATTTTATCTGATCATCAGTATGTTTCGGTTCATTGAACAAGTTTAAAATTGATTTTGAAGATAAATAAAATAAAATACAAAAATTTAAAATTATACGGTTTGGATTTTTTTAAAATTTTATTTTTTCTTATTTATAACCCCTTTTAAGTCATTCAAATTTTTTTCATGTGGGGTTTTTAACGTATTCTTTTGTATGTAAAATCATTTTTCCTTTGCGGTGTTAAAACTATCAACGTCTGCAAGTTCCCCCCTCCCTCCTCCTCAAGATCCAACCTTTAAAATTACAAAAGCTTCTCAACTTATATACAAAAAAAAAAAAAAAAAAAACTTCCCAACTTAAATAATTTTTATGGGTAATTTTCCTTCTAATCACTTATGCTTTTTTATTTTAACTTTAAATATATTTTATATTGATTCAAATAAAATGATTTAGTTATACGAACTTCTATTTAATTTTTGGCAAAAATAACGACTGATTCTTATGTGATTCAGTTAACTTTGTTTTTATACAAATAAGAATTTGTAACCTAATACAACTTACTTAAATCCCTTAATTATTAGACGAATACTAGTGGCTTGTTAACTCTTTTTTAATTATCACAATTGACTCATTAATTTTACATAAATTAAATGCATTGACAATAAATTTATAGTAAAAAATAATTATTTATAAATTTCATTAATCTGAAATTGAATAATATTTATATCATATCTTTTCATTATATTTATATATATATATATATATATATATATGAATATTTAATGAAAAAACTACCTCATGATATAAATATATATACAATTCAAACGGTCAATCACCAATAAAATTAATGAAGCTACCCACTAATTCTAACATCTATGTGAGCATTAAATTTTAATTCTTAATGAACTCAAAAGTCAATGTCAATGTCAAATTCAAATTATTCGTTTTAAATAAATTTAATTTAACTTTTTATTAATCGATATATATTAAAAGAAAAATTGTCAATACATAAATATATTATTTCTAAATGAAAATGATGCGTAAACTTCATTAGAAAAAAAATGTTTTCTTCCTTTATTTTGTTAGTATCATTTTTGTCTCACAATAATATTGTTTTATTTTAGTTTCAAGTTTTTTTAAAATTCATTACATTCATCCCAAAAGGTAATGTCAAAAAAATAAAAAGAAATATTTGGACAATAATTTTTTCCACATAATATTATATGTCAATAAATTTTGTCAATTTAACAAGAAGGAAGAATTTAATGAGTTTTAAAAAGATTTACCATTAAAAAAAAAATATATTTGTCATTTTAAATGATATAACTTTGTGTCATTTTCGGTGAAACAACGTTGTTTTGGTCATGATTTTTTTTATTCTCTCATATCATACACCAAAACATTTTCGTTTCATCTAAAATGACATAAAGTTATGTCAATTAAAATGAAAAATACTTTTTCCATTAATAAAATATAATTATGAATAAACTTGTAATAAAGTTAGTAGGAAATAATTTTTGCCTTTAATATTATTTTAAGCGCATACTTGTTGGAAATCGACAATCACACAAATCACAAACGAAAAGAGAAAGAGAAAGAAAATTGACACAGTGATTTACACTGATTCACCCAATTTAGACCAGTATTTTAAAACCCTGGCCCACCCCGCGGTCAACCCCTTCGGGTCACTGATCACTTCTCTTTGAGGGTTCGGGTTAGTAGTTAGACATACTTGCACGTTGACTCCTCTAACCCCTGAAACCCTCCGGTTGAACCCTTGACTCTCGGGTCAAAGAGGTTGCTGCATTTTTTTAAAAAAAAAAAATTATACACAAAATGACGTCATTTGATGTGTAAAAAAAAAAAAAAAAAAAAACTCTTTGTTGCCTAAATTTAGAACTAAATCTGAAATTTGAATCGTTATTTTTCTTCTCTTCCGATCTTCTCTCCCTGACTCATACTCAGTCTTCCTGTTCCGATGATCATCTCCACCTTGCTGGTTCTTCTTTTCCATCGTTAATTTGTCGTGTTGTCGCCTTTCCTCCGCTATCATCTATTGGGTAAAGAATCTCTTTTCACATACTATTGTAGGTGCATGAGAAGAACAAGAATGGCCTAAGTTTGATGATATAACTTTTTATTAACTCCATTGAAATATGTGTTTTATACTTTGATAGTTTGATTAGCTTGTGAATATTGATTTGTAGATGTAATTGGTTGAATTATGTTAAGTATATTTTGAATCTTTAATGATTGGAGGTTTAATTCTTTTGAATTTTTCATATAGCATATATATTTATATTTTTTTAATGTATAATACTGGGTCAGCGAAGTGACCCCGTAACCCCCCGGTTGAACTCGTGACCCCTGACCTCGGCCGGGCCGAGTTTTTAAACACTGATTTAGACTACTTCTAACTTGTCTGTACTATATTTACTTCATTGCCACTCGTTACAAGTAGGGGTGTAAATAGACTAGGCTAGGCTAGACTTTAACTTAAATAGGTCAGACCTGTGTAAAAAAATATTGGGTCTGACCTGACCTCTTAATCTTTGTAGGCCCCAAATTACAGTCTGGCCTGATCTATATTTAAAAAATAAAAGCATTGGCCTAGGCCTGTTAGCCTATTTAAACTTATTAAATATTCAACAATTAAAGAAGAACTAAAATAATATTATTTTATTATTTTAAATTATTAAAATAATAATTTTATTTATTTTATTTAAAATAAATAAAATGATGTAAGCCGTCTTGTAGGCTTATAGGCTCGATATGTACAAAAAAGCCTATAGCATATTTTCTAAATAGTTTTTTTAAAATTCTAGGCCTATTCTATTTTACTATTTGTAATAGGCCAAGTCTGGTCTAATATAGGCTAGACTGTAGGCTCCTGTAGGCCGGCCTAGTCCATTTACACCTCTAGTTACAAGTCACTCGATTTATAAGAAAAATATAAATAGGATTAGAAATTAATCCTAACAACAGTTATTCATGGGCTCAAACCCAAACTATTAAGAAAAGGAAAAATTACAATAAATTAGAGGTCCACAACAGTACATAACTTCTACGGACCCGAGGGCACTGTCCCTTAGATCCTCGTCCGTCCACCTGAGAGCGAGACCTCAGTTGTTTTTTTGTTGATCCCGACAATAAAAACTCTCATCAACATATGAACCATACCCAACAATAAGATAGAAAACAAAGCTGGCTGTTATCATAAGCAATTAGCATCATTTTATCACCATCATTGAGGAATATATCGAATCAAAACATTGATTGTCATTTGATATTGGGGGTTAAACAGTGTTTGTAAATTTAATCCCTAAGGAGGTGTTTGGTAGAAGAAAAAAAAAAAATTTATCCGAGAATCTCGATTTTTAAAAATATGATGAAAATATTCGATTTACGATAATATCCGAAAATTAAAAATTTAAAAAAATTCAGTTTTTCAAAAATCCTACAAAATACCTTGTATCAAACGCCCCCTAAGGCAATTTTGAAAGAGATATAATATATCCTTTCATTAAGGAAAACGTTGCTATAATATGTAGATTTCCGTATTAAACTTCACGATTAATTGTACAAACCTCTAATAAAAAAAGTTTGTGTTTTCTAAAGTTACTTTAGGTAACTTTATCTAATGTTCATCAAAACGACGTCATTTTGGGACGGAAATCATGGTATTTTTATAATATTAATTTATTTTAGGGTTATAATAGTCTCTATCATTCTAATTTTTTAATTTTTCAATCCCAAAACGACGTCGTTTTGATGAACATTAGATAAAGATATCTAAAGTAATATTTAGATATTTTTTTCCATAAAAAAATGTATCATATGCTAATTAGAGGAGATTTCTTCTCCTTTAGTAAAGAGAGACTTTTTCTATTCGAAGATCAGCGTAAATCACTACACTTGAAGAGTGGATAAATATAAATTTTTATTATTCAAAAAATGAGATTTGCTTGGAATTAGTAAAAGATTCTGAAGCTTACTAGTTACTGAAACTGAGGGGTTATGCGATAATAGGTGGGTTTTTTATTTCTTTTTTTTTTTCAATGTCATACCAGATTATGTACGAAATAATAAGAATATTGTAAAGTATAAAATTACTTCGTATAATATTTCTCTTTCCCTCGACGGAAGGTAAAGATGCATAGTAATATATTTAATGCTAATACTAATAACAACAATAATGTGGTAAGAAAAAAAAACTCAACAAAACAAATTAATATTATATTATATATATATGTTTTTAAATCTTGGCCTGTAACCACAGCGCATGCGTTGAGTTTACACGAAGACATGTTTTTCTTTCTTCTTTTTTATTTTGGCGGTTTTTAAAGTTGGGATTGTAGTCAACACACGCATCTGCGAAGCTCTCAAACGGTCGCGGCCAGAGGGCGAATCATCATATGGCATTTTGGCGCAACGTGAATCAAAGAAGCATCCCAATATATTACCCACCACCAAAAAAGCGCGTCCCATTGTGGTTAATATAAATATAAAGTAATACAAATTCTTTTGCCCTTTCATTGCATGCAGAGAGAGAGAGAGAAGAGAAAAAGAAAGAAAAAAGAAAGAAGGAATTCGAACCTCAAACGTAAATAAAGCAAAAGAAACTGAAAAATTGAAAAATTGAAAATTGAAAATATTTATATATACTAACTAATATTTAGTAACATAACAATGAATGAGAGGAGTTATGTTAATAGTATACGGAATGTATCGGTAACCGGTAAGAAAATTGGGCAGTCCTGGGAATTTTCTCAACCGCTTTATTTCATTGTCTCCTTCTTAGAACAAACCCCTCACACCCTCCTTCTTCTGTTTCTTCTTCTCATCTCTCTCTCTCTCTCTCTTCTCTTCATCTGCAACTCTCTCTCTCTCTCATCTTGCGTGTTTAAGATCGTTACTCAACCGGTGCTGTTTCCTCACCGATTCTCAAGGCACGTTTATCTGGTTGATTCCTTTTTCTATCTATTATATATTCTATCGTTTATAAATTTGCCTGCTTTTATGATAATTCTTGACGATCATTCGCGTTCTCTCTCTTTCTTTCTTTTCTGGTACGCATACCTCGAATCGCTTGCTTGATCAGTTTCAACTTTTCTTCTGATCTTTCTCGTTCATTGTTAAATTGTTTCTGATGAATCATCTGCATCTTCAAGCGTAGATTTTAATTTTTTAATTTTTTTTAAGGAGAGCGTCTGTTGTACTTGCCACGTGTTTGTCTTTGATGATGTCACCGATCCTCAGATTGTTTGTTTTGTTGAGAGTTCTGGATTTCCTTTGGGAAATTCTATGATTTATTAGATTTTTTATATAGATTTTTTTTTTGGCTCGCTTGTGTTTTCGTGTTCCTTAGTTTGCCTGACAGAAATTTATTAAGTGTCTTTTGAGGATGGTAGAAAACACCATCAGTATGTTTCATCTTAACATTTATATATCCACTTCTTATTATAAAAATAAAATAAAAAAGAATAAAAAAAATTAAAGCAATTAAAATTTGTATATGACGAATGTGGCTGTATAATTATGGTTTTTTAAGTGTATCCCTCTTCTGTGTGGAGGAATCCAAGCTTCCTTTTTTGAGGAAATCATGTTACTCGGAACCCCTTTTGAGCTTTTAGTTTTGGTTCTAATTGTCATCTCCTTTTGTATATCTTCTTTTGTGCTTTCTCCTAAAGGAATCTCATTGTGTTAGTAGATTCTTTTATTGTTGATATTTTCGTGCGCAATTACATTTAGTTGTTCAGTGCTGATTTGAAGCGCTGTAAATCGCTCATTTTTGTCTGCTTTTGCTGCTTGATGGATAGATGTCATAGAAAGCTTTCTCACTTGACCTCTTTTGTAGCAGAAGTGCAAAAACAATATTATTAACATCTGCTCATACTTCAGAATGTTCATGATTTCCTTCGTATGTAGTTCATATCCTATCTAACTCTTAGTTAGTGTAAAGAATTAATTCAACTCAAAAGTTAAGCTTAAGGCTACATTAATGGTTTTATATAACTCTAACTCCCCTCCTCACATGAGAGCCCACTGAGCTTGAAGAGTGGACAATGCACAGACCCACCTATCTGTGTTAAGAAATTCCACAAGAGAAAGTGGGGCGGGGAGGATCGAACCCAAGATGGCTTTGATTCCATGTAAAGAACCAATTCAACCCAAAAGCTTAGGCTGTTGGGTGAGGCTACATTAATGGTTTTATATAATTTAACCGTTAGTATTTCTTCCCTTTGATTGTCTTTTTTTGGCATCATAGGGAGTGCCATTCCTGATTTCCTGTATATTGGTTTAATCTTTATACTTTTTATTTATATTTTGATATTTGTCTTTTTGATTTATCTAATATGTGCTGAATACTAATTGTCTATCAAGAATTATAGTTTAGGGTGCTGTAAGTCCGGTTTTTATTTAGATTTCCTTAGAATCAATTAGGTTTAGAACTTTAGATGGTTTTTTATTATGCAGGTTTCTTGGTGCTGTTGGTCTATTTTACATGATTACATCTCTACATGTGCTGGTGAGATGCGCATTCTCATTGGAAATTCTCCTTCATTCCCTATTTTCCCCACCTTTCTTAATAATAATTTACTCTACATAGATATTTCCAAAAAGCTTTAGTTACATACACTCTTACACCTTTGGGTTTATTCATTAAAAATTTATTATTGTTATTATTGGCAGAAGTTGGTTTTGGCTTTGCATTTGCGTCGTGCAGGTTATGGAAGTGGGTGATTTCTTCTTCATTTGGTCGATTCCATTACATTGTCTGAAATGCAAATGGTGTTGTTGTAGGTCCCTTTTAATCCTGGATTAATGGAGTGACTATAGACCTGATGAGTGATGACTTTGGCATGTTTTCTCAGGATTTATTAGCATGATATGCCGCAGTTATGGAGTGTTCTTAGTCAACTTTCATATAGGAAGAAGAAAGTACATCGTACCAAAGAAGCTCTTTTAATTGGAAGAATTGTATAACCCTTGTTCAACTGGAATGTGTCCTTTAGATCATGTCCATCCATCTTTTGGGATTGGATGCTAGTTTGGCATGAAATGGCCTAACAATTATGCAGAGGATACTGTGGCAATAGGTTTGTCACATCCAATGTATAATGATACAAGATGTTGGTGTGGGCTCTTACAGGAAATTTAGGGGGTGTATATCATTGTTATAGTTCTAATTGGTACTCTGAGGTGCTAAGATGTGGGTGTTGGTAAACCTCAGTACTATCTTCCCCATGACTTGTAAAGATCTATAGTCAAATTCTTCCTCTTCTCTTAGTTTGGAAGTTGACAATGATAACTGCTATGGACGTGGTGCTATTTATTAATGGGGACTGGTATAATGAGTTTAGCAGTACAATTTTCTTAGAGCATTCACAACATGTTAGTATGCACTTTGCAGACTGCGATTTTGAACCACTAGTGCATACCATTGATGGAGACTTCTGTAGTGCTGTGCATCCACTCTTAAATGACATAGACCGCCCTTTATGTTGGTGCAGTTTCTGATGAGACTGCTGAATTGCCGTACATCCACTCTTAAATGACATAACTGCCCCTTATGTTGGTGCTGTATCTGATTCTGCAAATGTTTGGTTTCTCCAATAATGTGACAATTCATGGTTGGGATTGGAGTAGTGCTGGATGGTGCATTATTTGGACGTGGGCATGTGAGCTTGTTGACATGGAAGCTGTATAATAAGCATGAGTTGGTTACAATCTTCAGTCATGGTTCTAAATGTTGAGGAATGAGGTGAAACTTGTTTCAAGGTGTTGATAGTCTAGCCAGATTGCAGGGCACTCTTCCATTTGCATTTCCTATTTATGGGGGATGGAAAATATTTTACTTCCATGTTCGAGCCTAATTTTTAATTGTCATGCCTTGCTGGGGGCAATGGATGACAGACAAACAATTGTGTTTCATTGTGAAGAAAATTGATTAGAATTGGATGTGGGTGACATATTTTGATTCTTAATATTCTGGTAAAAGGCAAACAATTCTGACATGTTTTGAAGCTTTTGCACTTATTTTGTATTTAGAAAAAGCTTACAGTCACAATGCTCAAGACATAGCTTTTAGCTGAAAAGCTGTTTTTGTGTAAAATTAAGAATAACCAAACATGTCATCGATCTTCATTGCCATATAATCAAAATCTGTATATATACTTGCTAATATCAAAAATTTTATTGCCCAAGCTTTTTTTAAACAAGTTTATTTGATTTTTCGTGGTATATTAAAGGTAACAAATTCTTTGAAGCCATCTCTACTGTCTTGGGGAAGCTTGGCTTTGATTCGTTTGAATCTCCAGATTATAAAAATATCTTTTTTTATCTATTTTAAGTAATATAGTTTACTGTTGTGCCAATGTAGTATTCTCGTCTATTATTTCTCTATTAGTAAAATTTCTGTCTAGTCAACAGTTTTTTTTACTCTGTTCCGTATGGTTTTATTTATAAATCCTTCCTTTACCTTTTCTGCTAAGTTATACATCTCTCTCTCTCAGGAAATTTTTTTCATTGTTTAAAGTGAACTTAAATCTATATTCTTTTTACTATACAAAACAAGTTGTTTATTTTTTATTCTGTGTTTTTTTTTTTTTGCTGGTTCCTGGGATTTACTTAACTTATTTCTGTTTTTTTGTTCTTGTCTTGATTACTAATTAGAAGGCACACAAAGGAGTGTTTACCCCTATGTGCTCAATGCCTGTGCATAGTCGATTATCTTTTTCAAGTGCAGGAAAAGATTAGAAAATGCTAACACCTTCTAACACTCGCTAAACCTTGCCCAGGTAATATCTGATGCGTTAGTCATCCTATTCTCCAATCCTTCCTCTTTTTATTATGTCAAATCTGAACTCTTGCTATCATTCATGATAAGCTAGAGTGAGGATACATCATCTCATTTAAATCTAGCCAGTTTTTCTTCCTTCTGTTCACTTTTTCCCTGCACTGTTTTCTTGCCTCAGACTAGAAGGTGCTCTTTCTGTATCAGTGGATAGAGGCATGAGTAAATGGCTTCAAGTGAGTGGACTTATTTGGGGCTGTTGGTAATTAATGTTTAAGGAGACCATGAGTGGCAAGTGTTTAGTGTTTACAGGCTAGTTATGTAGATTTATTGTAAACTCCTTCCCTCCTCCAGAAATAATTGCTCTTGGTGATTCTTCCCATTGTTCAAATTGTTGTATGCTGTTATTTATGCTTCAATTTTCATGGAGGCCTATTGGTGGCATTTTAACTCTCCAAGCTTGTAACTTTCATCTTTCATGCAATTTTTGGTGGCACTGTTGGAACGGTATCATAGATATTTATACATGCTGGGAGCATTATCCTCTTGACTTATTAAGCCCATCATTTTGTAATCTTGATATCTAATAAACTCATACCAACTAGTTTCGTATTTACTTTAAACAAATTTAATAGCTGGACACGAAGTCTCCAGCTGAGGTCATTGCGTAGGCCTAAATTTTTTGTCCTAAAAAGGATCAAATGGCAAATGGTGAAAACTGATGAATTATATATGAGAAATCGAAGAAATTTTTCTAATGATGTGGAAGTGGCGGTGGCTATTGCTTTTTGTACATGCTGTAAGTGGAAGTAGTACTATTTTTCTAATGTTAGGAAGGTCAAGGAAAGACTATTCTGATCACATCCATCTGACATCATCTCTAGGTATCGACCCCCCTGCTTTTCTTGTCGGTAGTTTACTCTTCCTAGCCATGTTGTTCCCCTTGGCATGTTACTTATAATTCATGATAATGAAAACTACTAACTTTTAAAAAGTCTATCCCCTAGGAGTTGTGACTTCTGATCCTACTTTCGTGTGTCTGTATGCGTATGCATCTCTATTGTCTTTTCTCCCTTCCCCTTCCCCCTATACAAATATCTCCAAATGATTAATAAATTAGGTTCGTTCTCAACTGTGCTTATCTGTCACTTGCTCATGGTTATACGTGTAATATTTGGGTTGTTACTGTCTGCATGTTTTTAAATTGAATTAGTATCCTGACAAGTTTTTAATTATGTGTTGTGATTTTCTTTTACATAAATATTTTGACTGGATTTGTAAGAGCAATATGCATGGTACATATTTATATTACAATGCAGAGCTCGGCAGGCTCAATTCAGCATGTTGGAACCAGAATAGTTAAGATGCAATTGAGTATTTAATAACAGTTTATTTTTGTTTTAATGTTATTTCATATGCTGCAGTCATTGTAAAGCTTTGGTCTCTTACAAATGTTGTTGTGGCTTACAAGCAGCTTTGCTTGATTGTTTTGAATTAATTTTGATTTTTGATATTGAATTTCTTCATATACTCTTTTGCTTTGCAGGTTGTGTAAGTTATTTGCAGATCTGCCTCAACTACACTGTCTATTGTGACTCCCGAGATTGCAACTGACAGTTATGGGGCATCGACACTTGTATAGCACATCTCCATTTTTTGAGGGTGAGCCTGACCAGAATTGGAATCATATGCATACTGATCAACATTATGTGCACCTTGGTAATGTCAAATTTTATGTGCCTCACTTTCACTTGTATATTGGTTCACCAGCCATTTCTTTTAGGGTAAATAACGTCCTTGCATTCATCAACACCATATTTACTAACAGGCAGTGTCTCTTACAGGTAGGACTAGCACTTCAGAGAATGGTTCTTTTATTTATCCTGTGGAAAATATGCCTACAGATAGCATTTCTTTCCCCTCTCATTGGAACTCTGCCACAAGGTCAAATGGATACGCACCCTCAAATCCCAATATTGAAGTACCTCCTCATCAATCAGATGCATCAGGCACTTCTAATGATCATTTTATGCATTCGTCTAGTGCTGGTTCTTTCTTTGCAGTGTCTGAAAATTATTTGCACCAGCCCTCTTCTTCCAATTATGACAGACAAGCATTTCATGTTGATGGTGGTTTTATTGATCTTACAATGGGAAATGGACCAGGGCCTCACAAGCGAAAGAGCCCTGGAATTCCTTCAGTCTATGAGAGAGGCAGTTCAAGCAGATACTATAATGCTGGAAGTTCAACTGATCTTCCTTTATCTTCAGAATTAAGGCAGGAGAAGCCAAATATAGATTCTCAATATATGCCCTGGGATCATGTTACTATGGCACCCGCATTCAGAGGTGCTGGCCTTTCAATAAAGGGTGAGGGTTCTTCAAGGAATGTGAGGAGTCGTTCTGCACTTGATTTGGAATCCAACCTGGCTAGGACCCATTTATCAAGTAATCAATCACACAATTCCTACTGTGCTGTCCCACCAGTTGACCACCCTAGCGTGGTGGATCTTTCAGGTCAGACTTCTACCACTTTGACAAGGGATTGGAGCCAAATGAACATATCTCCTGCTAATGGAAGGGTGTTATTACCAGGTTAGGTTGTTAACAACTTGTAGTATCGAAACATACACATTTCATTCTCTTTGCCTTTATATCTATAATATCTTTGTCTTAAAATGCAGATACAAGTGCTTTTGGTCTTGAGACAAGTCACTTCCTTGTTGGAAGTGGTGCTTCTGCCAGTAATGCTTCTGTAGATGGTGGGGGCTTCCATCATGAATTTGGTACAAGTAGAAATCCTACTGCTCCTCAAAGTTTTAATAATAATCTGACTCAGACTGCTAGGGGAATTCGAAGTAACTATTCTCAGAGATCCACTCCAACTTTTAAGGCTTCTTCAAGCTTGCGCTTGGGACATATGATACCTTCAGATGATGGATTGCCTATGGTAGCTGAAAGTTACTCTTCTAGACATCCAAGGCCGATGACAACCGTTGGCTGGAGGAACAGTGATAGAAATGGGAGGTCAAGAATTTCTAGTGAAAGATATCGATCATTGGCTGTCGAGGCTGGCCTCCATGATCGATTTTCCTCTGAGGTATCAGTCAGTATCTCGAGGAACTCTATTTTTCTGTGTCAGTATTAATGGAAGGATATATATGTAATATTTGGAATTTGTAACACAGTTTTTGCCTGTGACCATGTTAGTTAACCTTAAATAGGGATGCTTGGTTTTTTTGCAAATTTTTAAAGAAAATTATTTCCGACTTAATCTCTTATGAATTGTTCTAGTTGCAGTATTCAATAGGAGCAGCAAAATTATTCTTTCTTTCTTTTTCTCCACGGGAAGCCTCAAACTTATTTTTTTTTTCATCCTTTTCTTTTGCGCTTTCAGGGCTTCATGATCGTTGAGCGTGCTTCACTGTATGGTTCTAGGAATGTGAATGATCAGCACAGAGATATGAGGATGGACATAGATAATATGAGCTATGAGGTGATTGTTAATTTATTATTGTTTCGTGTTACAACTTGCATCATATACTCTGAATTCTTTTTCAAATTATCTTGATGATTGGTTTGACCAGGAACTACTTGCACTTGGCGAGAGGATTGGCCAGGTCAACACAGGATTGTCCGAGGATTTGCTTTCCAAGTGTTTGACAGAAACAATATATTGTTCATCTGAGCAAAATCAAGACGAAGGAAGTTGTGTAGTTTGTCTGGTAAGTTTACCTCTTTCCATTCATAATAAATAATTTAGATATCTTTGGATGACCTTAATCAGGTGCTTACGAGTTTTTATTGAAAATTACAGGAAGAGTACAAGAACATGGACGATGTTGGGACACTTAAAACTTGTGGACATGACTACCATGTGAGCTGCATTAAAAAGTGGTTATCTATGAAGAAACTATGTCCTATCTGCAAAGCTTCTGCTTTGCCCGAGGATACGAAGGATAAATAACTTCTACTGTAGTATAATCAAATCTCATTGTGTGTATATATTTGGACATCCCTCAAAGTGGAGGAAACAAACTTGCTTTTGGAGATGTGTTGTAACAGCAATGCTACTTTATTCCAATGTATTTGTTTTTGGCTTCTATCTCAATTAGGTGAAGCCTTTAAATTATTGTGTGTGGTTTTCTAATGGATCTGGATTATCTCCTAATTTTTAAATAACAAGAGAAAGTTATGTTCGAGATAAAAAAAAAAAAAACATAAGTAGGTTGAAATATAATAACTGCGCTTCATAATTCATTATAATGAGTCCTATAACAAGAAATTTTGCTTTTATACCTCTCCAGGTTATCTTTTATCAGTTTAGGTTTGACTATGTCAAAATCGACAAGGTTGAAGGCTTTGTCCAATAGAATTAAATTATTTGTTCTTTTTACCTTTCTCTTTTTCTTTCTTTCCAATTGAAAAATATTACTTTAGCAACAAAACCTAACAACTAAGAGAGCGTGTGATGTTGTGAGATTTTTTTTTTCTTTTGATGTGGTGTTAATTTTTAAATATGTTAGTAGGAAGTTCAACTAACACAGCAATTTCTTAGTTGAACATCAACTCAAGATGTGAAGCAGCTGATTTTATTTTTTTTCCAAAGGATTTTCAAGAAATTTGTACAAAAAAAGAAAAGGAAAAGTTCAAAAATCCCTGTGTTATTGCTTTGAATCACTTATATGCCTATGCTTTATTTTTAATCACTTAACCCCTGTGTTTTTTTCATCCACATCTCTTCTTAATACTGTTAGAAAATTTATGAAATATACCTATTCTATCATTCTTAGAAGAAGAAAAAGAAAAAGTTATAAAAAAGAAAAAAAAAGAACCAAATATTATGAAAAAATATAACACTTAATAAAATACTAAACGAAAAAAATTAAATGTGTTTAAATAAAAAAATATAAAAAAAGAAAATAGAAGAAAAAGAAATCACATTATGAATTTTCCATATATTTGCTTTTATTTTTTTCTATTTTTTTTGTCCTTGGACTATTTACTTTTTTATTTAGATATGTTCGGTCTTTTTTATATCTCTATTTTATTCTCTCTTTTTTAATTTTTTTTTACAAAAAAATTTAGTAGATGGGGTTGGCCACAAGACTAAAAAAATTTGAGAAGAAAATTAGAATAAGATAGATCAAAAAATGAAAAAAAATAAATAGAAAAAAGACCAAAAACATTTAAATAAAGAAAATAAAAGAAAAAATAAAACTAAATATATTGAAAACTCGTAACCGTGATTCCTTTTTATTCTATTTCTTTTTTATTATTTTTTATCATAATTTTTTCTTCTTGTTTTTTTATCTTCAGTATATATATTTTTTATTTGGACTATTTTCATTTTTTTTTTTTAAATTTTAGTCTTTTTAGTCATTGTTGTGATTTTTAATATATATTTTTTATTTTTTCTTATATTTTTTTTGAGATAAACCACATGTATCCTCCACATGATGCGACCCTGTTATCAAAAAAAAAAGTTTTAAACCCTTCCTAAAGATGATACATGGAATGATCGAATACATGCTCTCATCTCCACGTAGGGATGGCAAAAATGAGCCAACCCGTCGGGTTGGCTCGTAACCCGCACAAAACGAGCCGGGTTGGGTTGGCAAAAATGAGCTGCCAGCTCGATTTAGCCCGACCCGAGCCAACCCGAGCTCAAACGAGCCAGCTCGCGGGTTGAACGAGCCAGCTCGCGGGTTACTTTTTTTTTTTTTTTTAATAAAATACAATGGACTTTACTGATGGATTCTCCACTGATGGACTTTACTATATTGGTCGCTTTTGCAGGTCCTTTTTTTTCATGATTGGCTTTTGATTCTAGATGCTTATCGTTGAAATATATAATGGATTTCTTTTATTTTTTATTTTTTGGCTTTACATACGTTTTATGGTTATCGTGAGTTAGAGTAATTCAGAAAATCATGATAAATGACTCCTGTGATTCGTGGAGTGGTTTGTGTTTCATTTAATGTTTTTGGATTTTGTAAACTACTCTACTTGTAGTTGGACTGCAAAATACAATAATTTTATACAGGAGAACAAACCACAAAAATTAAATTTTTTGAGCCAACCCGCGAGCCAATATTTTGAGCTAACCAACCCGCGAGCCAACCCACTAGCATCATTTCGAGCTAACTCGTGAGCTTTTTTTGAGCCAACCCGTGAGCTTTTTTACGAGCCAACCAGCGAGCTGATTATCGAGCCAACCCGCGAGCCAACCCTAACCCGGCTCGGGTCGAGCCGGGTTGGGTTTTCTGGCTCGTTTTTTTTTTCGAGCCAACCCGACCCGACCCATTTTTTCGGGCTGAATGCAGGTTGGGCCGGGTCGAGCCGGGTTGGCCCGTTTTGCCAACCCTACGGTACTCAGCTCCCATGCAGCAACTGAGCTACCATCATTTGTTTTCTTCTATTTTCTTTTTTTTATACATTTGTTTTCTTTTTTTTTGTTTTGACATATTTGATTTTTTTTTTACTATTTTTCTTTTAGTCTTTTATTAAGTGTTCTAAATTTTCATAATTTTTTATCTTATTTTTCTTCATCACTTTATTTTTTTCTTCTGAAAAGAGTAGAATATGTATACTTAGTTAATTTTCTAACAGTATTAAAGAAGGAGTGTGGATGAAAAAATCACAGTAGGTTAAGTGATTAAAAAGAAAGAAAGATATATAAGTGATTCAAAGCAATACCACACTGATGATTTTTAACTTTTCCAAAAAAAAAAAAGGAGTTTTAAGAAATATAAAGAGTAATTAAATCTCTCGTCAATGTTTTCTTTCAGGTGTTAGATGCATTTGCATTCTCTTGATAAAATGAAATGCATGCGGCTTGCGAAGGGATTTTTGGATAATGACAATGGATACTTTGTTGTACATCTTGTTGATTGACATCGCGGAAATATTCCGCCATCAGTTAAACCCACTCTCAGTTATTTGACTTGGCTACAATATTGTGTTTTACTCCTCTGTTCGTTTTGGGGGTTTGTTCATGGATTCGAAGTGTTAGTCAAGGCTCAAATTTCTCCTAATCTAAAATATGATTTTGTTGGTAGTTGTTAATTTTATCAAAAGGGGATGCTCTCTCCATGCTTTGGCTATGGAGTTTGCTTCAGGGAAATTGGGATATGGATATAGGCTATAGGCTATAGGCCATGTCTTGGGTAAAGGAAACAGATGTGGAGATCATTTAGTGAATTGGAGTCATGAATTTCAGTTGGGAGTTAGTGGTGTTTAGTGTATGTAAATTGTACAATGTACAAATATCAAGAGTTCTTTTGAACTAATTTTAAACTATGGTAATTTACATGAGGTTTTTTTTTTTAAAATTGTACTCTTAAAACTATGGCTGCTTCTACAGTACACCATACAATTTTTACGTAAATCCTCAAAAACTCATTCTAGTTGTTAAGAATTTATAAATGTCGGTCATATTAGTTCTCAAGCTCTAGAGAAATTAGTTTTAATGATTATTATGATGACATATATTTTTTTCTTGAAGGCCAAGATATATTTTTGTATTCTCAAATACTAGTGTGTCTACTGCCAACTCTGCCCCAATTTACTGGGTTGAACTGAGTTGACATAATGCCATTTATATTGCCAACACATTGTGTCTAACATGATTCATTTCTGTATGGGAACTTTGATATTGTTGGTCAATCTACTCGTCCTCATTTCTATCTTAATGTTCAATTGTATGCTGGATATTATTGTTAGATTTAATATTGTAGTTAGACGTTATGTTCATTGTTCGTGCTAAGTTCTACCCTAATGCCAAAAACGAAGTCTTGCAAAATGTTCACTTTAAGCTTGATATTGTAGTGAGATTGTTATTTAGATGGATATTATGATGGTGGTGTCCCTGACGTATTATATTATATGGGAAGCTTTTCAGTTGAATGCTAGTATGGTAGTTTGATGGACAAAAAAGTATTATGCGAATAAAATGGGGCATTCCGAGAATTGAACTCGGGACCTCTCGCACCCTAAGCGAGAATCATACCACTAGACCAAATGCCCTTCGTGACACTTTTGCGCCAGAAATATATTAATATATTAACAATTTTTGTTATTTTTAAGCAATTTTTCTTTTATTTTGGATTTTCCAAGGTATCTTCCGGCCGACAGTCGAAGACTAATTTTTTCACATTAAATGGGTAAACCTCTTCCAACAAAGTCTTCTCCATACACATGGCCAGGAATCGAACCCCTGTCAGTAGAGGTGGAAAAGTGGTCGGCCTGTCCCGCCCCGCCCCGATTTTGAAAGTGGGTTGAAAAACTCAGCCCGCCTCGCCCCGTTTGGCGGGTTGGGCGGATTGGCCCGCCAGCCCGAGCCTATTTTACACTGACCCGCCTCGCCCCGCCTATGCCCGCCATCAACCCGCCAAAAAATGAGCCCGCCCCGCTTTTGAGATGGGTTGAAAAACTCAGCCCTCCCCGCCCCGTTTGGCGGGTTGGCCCGCCGAGCCGAGCCCGTTTTGCCGGCTCTACCTGTCAGCACGCTTAAGGAACCCAGCTATTTACCAACTGTGCTGGGCTTTGTTGGTTATGTGATGTTATTTTTACGAGGGAAAAATGTGTATCACTTTAAATGACATAAGTTGTGTCACCTCATAGACTTAAAGAAGTGTGGATTCCACTAAAAAAAATAAAGGTACGAGTTTCACTTCTTTATATTTATAAAATGACACAATTTTTTTTCTTTTTATATTATAAAAAGAGTACAAAACAATCACATCCATACCTTTATTGTTGTTTTTCTTTTGCCCAATAAAGGAAGATATGTCTTTTGATACGTTTGAGATAGAAGGTTTTAATTAAAAAAAAGTAAATATCTTTTTTGTTCCTCAGCAAATTTTATGATACCCGCTTTAGTCCCTAGCAAATAAAAAGACTATTTGTGGTCCCTGAAAAATTCAAAATGGACCCATTTTAGTCCTTTTGAGGACTAATGTGGGTCTTTTTTTAATTTGTGAGGGATCACAATTTCAACTAAATGGGTCCATTTTGAATTTCTTAGAGACCACAAATAACTTTTTTATTTATTACGGATTAAAGCGGATATCGTGAAAATTGCTGACGTCGAAAAATAATATTTACTCTTAAAAAAAAGGACGGGTATGT